AAATAGATACGTGCCATTATATTATGTCGCGTAAGAAGCCAAAGTTTAAAAAATACTCCGGGAGTGATTTCCTTCCATCGGTAAGTACTAAAAGTCCGTATTTTCAAATATTTTGAACAATACAATACTATAATTTCGAAACAAAACTATTTTCTTGCAATTCGGTAATAACAATATACATTGGTTGCTAGCTATCGCCGCCGTCAAAAGAACAATTGGAATGACTATATACACTTGGTACTGGATCCGCGTGTTGTAATCAAATTATCGATATGTAGAAACTCTGTATTTCGAAACTCGGTTTTGGTTTAGTTCAACATTTTTTTATTGTAGCGGTACCAATGTGTAAACACAAATTGTTGTTGTTGTTGTTATGTAAACATTAAATTATGTACATATGAATAACAACCGAAACATGCATTAAGAAATAAATCATTTGGATAATCAGGTAATATATGACATGAAACTCAGAGTCGCATTCACAAATTATAGACCACATCTAAATGTGAAAACATTTCTGAAGCATTGTCAGTTAATTTTTATTTTTATAATTTTCAGGAAACAAACGATTCGCTTTTTCGTCTTCGGAAATAAGTATCTGCATTTTCTTGATAAGCTCGTCGACGCCATAGGTGTAGTCATGTTCAGTCAGTTCAGAAAGAGGTAATTGTTGACCAAATATATTATATTTCAGGAAGAATAAAGATTTTTATGATGACTGTGTTTTAATATTTCAACCCTTCCTTCAAGTGATCGGATTGACTTGAAATCTAGTAGGTTAATGAAAGTACGATGACAGTATAATAAAAAAATTATAATGTGATTGTAACATGTAGCTACGTATAGGCACGCACACGCCTGCGTAGGTTATATCAATTAATATTTGCGTGTAGTAAAACCTTACGCGTATTTCATATAAAGTCAGCTACGCTAGTTCTCGAAGAAACTGCTTTAAATGCCGTTTCCATATACTCCGTGGTTAACCCTAATCATCGAGTATATAACCAGAAATAGAGATAAAATAAGAGCCATATATTCCTGGTAATAAACACATTAGCGATACAGCTCTTATAAATATCAACTTTCATTTGTACTGAAATATAGACAGGCCAACTACTGACCTGTGTGTACCTCTCCGTATATTCCAAAAAATATTCTGTATTTATTGTAATAAAGACAATATCTCTAACAATGCTGTGCTGTTCTATTCGGTGGTGTGAGAAAAACAGCAAAGCATCTAATTACAAAACAAACGGAATCACATTTCATCGGTAATTAAATATTAAATATGTAATTTTGCAATTTTCGTCCATTATAGCAAAGCTCAAGTTAACTGGTCGATTTGAAGAGAAACAGTTGACGAAACCCATTGACGACACCCGTCAATTGTTTCGAACTCGGGCTAGCCAATCGGAGCGCAGTTGTCACAGTAATAATATGACAGAATAGTTTTCAAACAAATTAAATGACATTTCGTCTCTATTTCTGGTTATGTACTCGATGACCCTAATTGTAGCACGTGTAAAGCAATGCCTAGTTCAATATTCCGCTACTTATAAAACATAATGTCGATATCAATTAAATGTCACATCCCTATCTGTAGATTGTCAACTTTTTGCTTTTGTTCCAAGAAGTTTGTGTTCATAGGATTGTTAGCTTTTATATGACTAGTAATAATAAAACCTTATTAGATCCAAATAACTTTCAGTTTTTTGTTTATTGTCTATTTTTGGTTTGATAATTTATAAGTAATCAAAATTATGTTATCTTAATACTGATGTAAGATTACGTTTTCAAATGTGTGCGTGTGGCGACACTGGTTTTGATACAAATGTTGTTTGATGCCATTTCCATTCTTTTTTTTTCTTCCGTGATTTATTCACTCGATTCGTACTATGACGCGACTTTGACATTAAAGTAATATTGTTCTTATGTCAAATTTAGCAATCTGAAAATAGTTACTCGGACGCAATGGAAACAATATTATTTTCGAATTTATTGTCCACCCATTCATTATACATCTCACGCTCGATGCGAATCTCCATGGGTTGTTGACTGTTCAACGCTCGGCCGATGAATGAGCTCGCTCAGAATATATTTATATAAATTTATATAATGCTATCTCGAGTGTTACCATTGTTGAAATTTAAAAATATCCGTAGTAACTATAATAATGCAACATTCAATTGTTCATTATTGTGGTGTCTAATTATTCTAAAATGTACCATCTGTTCTAAAACTCCCAGAAGTCATGTAGTCAAGACATCAAAACGTAAGATGTCATAAGAATGGTCTTCTGATAAGATGTGATTTATTTCTAATAAATGTTTAGCGAAATTATACGTGGTTGGGTGTTTATGAGTAAACGAAGGAACATGTTCTTTATATGTTTGTAAGGGTACGCCTTGTTTATTTATCCAATATATACATTGTCACACGTGTCACTGTTGAGCTTATAAACTCCCGACTTCTTTCCACTTTCCACTCCATCCTTGCCATTGCAAAGTCTAGAGCGTAGTGTTATTTTTTGTCTTAAAAGCAACATTTATTTTATTGGATATAAAAATTTTATAACTTTTTCTGACAAATTTTATAAATCTAATTCTATTTAATAATCTATTTATTTTACAAAAATGTATAAATCTTTTTCAGAAGTGATTCATAAAATTTTGAAATCTAATAACATAAATTTTGCTTTCAAGATAAATAACGCTTTTTTTTTTAAATACCCTCAATGTGGTTGATTATGTGCGCCCATCATCGACTACACAGCCTGTAGACCCCTTATAACAGACGAAAGGTGTCTGTCAACTAATCTGACTAATAAATCAAATATACGCTGCCGCCCACAACGTTTGGGAAGTTGCGACCTTGTCTCCGTAGCATGACTACGCATGATAGTCGCGACGCGCGCGATAAAATTGGAATAAGCGCACGCTATTGGCTGTCTCAATCAGATCTAATTTAGATCTAAGTCAGATCTATTTTTTTCGTTGACATGGACCTCTTGCAAATTCGAGTGGACCTCTGAGGATCGATATAATCCACTTTGGGAATTAGCGACCTAGAGAAATGTGGGGTACGTAAAGCACGTAGTAGGACTGATTTTCATTATCATTGTAAATTATACATCTCATTGTTAGGTACGATACGAGTCTCTGCCAAAAAGCGTGTTTAGGCCATTGGTACACCGCGCTGCCCAATGTGGTTTGGGGGCCCAGTAGCAGTAGAGCTCCCTGTGAACGAGCTCGTCCAGGGAAGTACTGCCACCTTACTTATTTCTGCCGCCAAATAGTAATGTCAGCATTGCTGTATCCCGGTCTTGAAGGGTCCTTATCCTTTCACCAGCTCCCTTGTACTGGTGAAATTACAGGCACATGGGGTTTGTCAACTTACGTCTCAGGGTGTTGAGCACAGTGGCAGTGCCCCGCATATCGTAGCGATTTAAAGCTCTGATTGTCACTGTAAGCGTTATGGACAGGCGTATAGCTTACCATCAGGAGCACGGCTTGTTATAGTCGTGACACGTGCGATACTTGGTACTGATTGCGCCAATCAGTACCAAGCATCCCGTTTCACTTTACCTCAATTGGTTGACAGAATGAATTCCGTGCAAAAAATCATCGGCTGTATCGTCGATGGCGCCCATATAAACCGTTCTCCATATTTCCACTTTCGCTCTTTTGTATCGTTATTTTACCAGTTTTTTTTTTATGACACCATAATGACAGGACGAATTTACCACCAGGCGCACGACTTGTGCGCCTGATGGTAAAAGCGATATGCCTGTCCATAGCAATTGCAGTGCCACTCAGAGCTATAAATCGCAAATATGGCACTGCCACTGCACCCGTTACCCCGAGACATAACTTGACAAGTCCGATGTGTCTATAATTTTCCTTACCCACTCTAGTACCGTAGCCTTCAAAATCAAAACTTAGTAATGCTCACATTACTGCTTGGCGGCAGAAATAGGTATCCATCCGTAATAATATTATACCTCAACAATCTGTTATAAGTATAATTATCATCACTCACTCGCTGATGGCGAAACGCTGTGTTCGTGTTCTGTTCGTATGCATGATTTACCAAATAACTTGAAACTAACTCCGCGTCGAATTAAAAATGGTTAAAAATAAAAATAAATATGTAAATAAATATGTAAAATAAAAATGTTTAAAGTGTACTATAGTTATAAATAGGACGAATCCAGGATTGCAGAGCATTAAATGTGTGAAATGGATACATGGGAATTGCGCTAACTTATCAGCTGACCAGCTCAGTGTTTTATTATAAAAAGTTCCTTCGATCCGGCCGGATTCGAACCGACGTCTTCTAGCATACCGTGACAGACGCTATACCAACTAAGCAAACGAAACGAACCAGCGGACTTCACGAATTGTTCTATGCGCTTGCGTCGTGTCTTTGTATTTGGTTTTTCAACGACTTTTTAGCCGTAGCGCCATCTATGAGAAATATATGATATTTCGTCACCCAGTTAGATACCTTTACAGCTATCAGCCCCGGCTAGCGATTTCGCTATTCATTGTATTCAATTTTTTATTGAATTGATATTCAATTATTTTTATGTGACATTACTCCACTAGTTTGTTATAATTATTAATACAAAGATCGAACACTAAGAAAAAATTCCTTCGATCCGGGCCGGCTCTACGAAATATCCTGGATTTCTCATAGATGAACCCACATAGAAAAATTCGTGAGTTCCGCTGGTTCGTTCCGTGGCTTAGTTGGTATAGCGTCAGGTACAGTACGCTAGAAGACGTCGGTTCGAATCCGGCCGGATCGAAGGAATTTTTTCTGATTGAACTTTCAAGACCTGTAGTTGGCACGCGTCGGATGCTAACTAACCACTTTTACTGTATTTATTGTTCTTTGCGTGCACCCAATCAGGCATAGTGCAATTTAATGAAACATAGTTATTTTTAGTAAACATTTTATAAATGAATAGAGTCCCAATACGTAATATTTGTTCTCAGATCGGATGGCGAACTACGAATGCTTGGCTGGCCGGCAACCTGGCTTGCAAGTTTTTCCTCGTGTTACGTGCTTTCGGCCTCTACTTATCATCTAATGTTCTAGTCTGCATATCTTTAGATAGGTAAGTTTATTAGTATAAAAAGGTATCCGTATAGAAAAGATGTAAAAGCTGGCTTTACCATACCTAACCAATAAATGTTCATTAGAATATGAACATTTATTGGTTTATAGATAGGTATATTATATTAAAAGCAAAAAGAAAGCACATCTCAAATTAGAACTTTGAATCAGAGTGGTAACATCATAAAACAAACGTGTAAAAGGAACATACAAATCTTGCAAGCAGTATTATTATACGTATAATAATATATACTGCAATACGTCCTCTGAAGATTGGCTGCATAACCTATGGAGCAATAAATTCAAGAAGACTGCTAATCTCCATACTATAGATTGTAACTCTGAAAAAGGTCAAAATTTCGTCTTATAGCTAGATATGAATCGCTGGTCAATAACCTGGAAATCAAATACTTCAATCTATACACAATTACATTCACAGAAACTATATTATTATGTACTGATCAAAAGACTATCAATAGTGATAGTGTTTTGTTTAGTATTCAATATTGTCAAGGAGTGCCAATACCGCAGCTGGCGTATAGCATGGACAGATGCGACAAACTATACCTGTTGAGAATGAGCTATATAGGTGGCAAATAATATTGGGATAGTATTATTGTCTTTATATAATAATGCAGAACAAAACCAAAACAGATTAATCGCGTACCTGTGGATGGTTATTACCATTTTTGTATTGACAATTTTTGAAGTATTTTTGCAACACCGAAGAACACAAGATGGTATTATAAAATTGTCTCTAAGATGAGAATGTACGAATTACTGAAAAGAAAAATCAAATTAAATAAAAGAAAAAAATTGCAATCGAGTTGATGAAATTATTAAATGTTACATACTTTTTTTTGCGGTAAGGCAAAGATCTTTAAACCATGCAGCCTAGTCTTTTTTAAATTTTTTAAATTTACATGGTATCCACAGTTACTGTTTTATTCATATTTATACATAATTACTCGTTAGGAACATGTATACACATTAAATATAGTGTTAATAGAAAAGAATAATATTTACAGTTTAATATAACTTATATGCATGATTATAGAATGAATATGATACATTTTTGGGTGAGAGGATAGGGACAAAAGGCATTTAAAGGAAGTAGGACGAGGGATAGAGAAAGAGGATGTCATATAGAGAACACCGTAATTTAGGGCAGTAAAAGAATATATGGTCCACGTTTCCTTCGTCTAAACCATACTCAAATAATGAGTTATTCTTTATCCTAAATTTAGCCAGATGGATAGTAAGTACACGCGTGACCTAAACAAACCATATTGTTGAAATAGTTTTTTAAAAGGAATTTGAAAAACCAAGGGACTGGGAATTTGAAGCTGAATATCCGCATAATGTTTTTGTTTTTTTTTGGGATATCTCCCAATACTTCTACCAACGATCACGAAGAAGGGATTCTGGGAGTAGGCAAAGATCATAGGCGTACAAGTTGGAGTGTTCAGTGGAATCTACTGTCTCATTGCCTGGGATTCCAACATATCCAGGTATCCAAGCTAGCACCACGCTTATACACTGCTTGTGACAGTCTAAAAGGACCTATTTAATCCTAAGCATACCTAACTGGGAACGGGAAGGAAGAGTGGAAAGGATTAGACAGGGTGGATTGAAAACAACTTTTAGAACAGGTAAAGATGATGGTATTATTGAGCTTATGAGATTCGACATAGAGAACTGGGTCCAGTACGGAGATTGCTTCACCAGTAAGTAAATTAATTTACAAAGAAGACTGCATCTGGTCCGCCATTTTGAATATTCGACAACGCCGCAACTAGTACGCTAGTACATAGATATGTTATTGGAAGTACTTTATATTATGAAAATGGCCGTGTATATCAATTAATTCCTCTTTAATATGAAATTTAAGAAGTCAGTTATTTTCCTTGTGTTAATATTCAAATATTGGTTATGAGCTAAACTTATTTTCTTAACTTTGATAAATATGCGTGTACATAGATGACATTGCTTATACAAACTAATTTATAAATTAACGTTTCGTAATATGGGACGGTGCTTTAATCTTATACAAAACAAAAGAATAACCGGCACCACCCATAAATATCTGTGTAATAGGCGCCATCTAGTTGATTTGTTTGTTATCACTAGAAATTATAGTAGCTTTAATAAATTGCTGCTTGTCAGTGTAAAACAAATTAGTTACAAATAAGCTAATTGGTACTCGTCGCGACATCTGGTGTGCCAATAGGTACTAAATACCCGACAACGCTGTCTTGTATCGCGATTAGCACACCACTTGTGATATTTGTCCATGCTATGAACTATGTTTTTGGTTCGTAACGCGCGTCAAACGCTTGTCATGTGAACGTTCTCTATTTTTTTTTTTCATTCGCTCCGTATGCAATAGGCGAAGGTCAGAGACCATATTGCCTAGTCATTAGTTTCTCTTTTTCATCAGGAAATATGTTTCGATTTAATCTTCAGTGTAAGATCCTTCAGTTTAAGTCTTCAGTAAGGGC